TTTTCGCGGGCGGCTTCAACGATGATTCGTCTGACCTACATCTTCCTGCTTCGTCTACCGTCGGGGCGTTTCGCACGCGCTGGCGCGGCAGCGCGCCCCGGCGCGGCAGCGCGGGGAGACGCGCCAACTCGCGGGGCGCGCGCGCGCCCGAGGAGCGCCGCCGGCGCGCCAGGCGGAGCTCTGAGCTGGCAGCTACCACCGACGAGGCTTTCAATTGGTTGCCACGGCGGAAGAATAAGCCGGCTGCGTCGGGTCTCCGCCGGCGGCGCTGGCGCCAACCCACGCCGCGACGCGCGCTCTTCACGCGATGCCGCCATTGCTGCGCGACGCGCCGATCGACTCGCAACCGTTCGCGCAGTTCACGCGGTCGGGCGCTCGGCAGCTAGCGCTGCCCCTCTTGGCCCGACTAGGGGCGGCCGAAGCTCATCGATTCGGCGCGCGCGACATCCGCAGGTCGCGGCGCGCGCGCCCCCGCGCCATGCGTTGCGGCAGCCATTCGCCGCCTTGCGGTGCCAGGGGGGCGCCGACGACATCGACCGCGCGGGCGCGCCAATTGCCGCGGCACGGGGCCGAGGTGGCTGAGCGTCAGACGCCTACCTCGCCGACGCCCATCGCGGTTGAGTCGAGCGCAAGCGCGCGGCCATCGCGCGCGCGACCGCGCCCGACTGTTCGGACAGCCCGCGCCGGCCAAGCGTTACGCCGACGCGCGACGGGTCGCGGGCCCAGCGTCACGCCGACGCGGCGGCCTCGCGCGCGCGCCAGCTGCCGCGATGCATTGGCAGTGGGGCTGAGGGTCAGACGCTCACTTCCCCCGCGCCGCGGCAGTCGGGCCGGGCCCGCGCGTCGCCGCGCCCGACTGTTCGGGCAGCTCGCGCAGCAGCTCTGCCGCGTCGAAAAGGAGCTCGGGCGCGAGCAACGGATGGGCAGCGCGCGGCGCTTGCCGCATCATTGCATGTGGTCGCGCTGCTACCGGCACTGGGGCCACCCGAGGCGCCCGCGACGTCTGGCCGCGGCGCCTGCGCCCTCTTGGCGCGGCGCAGGCTTCCGCGCGAGCCCAGCTTTGCGTTTGCAAGCGCAACCCGGCGACGGGGCGCCTGGGAAATTCGCGAGCACGGGGCGCATTCGGCCCTTTTGTTCCATCGCGCGCATTCGCTTGCACCAGGGATGCGCGGCGGCCGCGGGCGCGGAAGGTGCCGCGTCGCCGCCGCGCCGCCCGCGCGCGTCGCACCACGCCGCCGGCGACGCGGGCAGGTCCGCGCCCTTCCGCGCGGCGTCCGCGCCCGTCGCAGCGCTGCGGAGGTTTGCGGATTTGCGGGGCGCGCGCCCTGCGCTCGGGATTTGATCCGCCCGAGCCCGCCCCGTCTTCGCCAGTTGCTGGGTCTTGTTGCAAATGGCGCCCAGGCTGCCCGAGGCGCCCGCGACCTCTCGGCGCGGCGCCCGCGCCGCGGGGCGCGGCGCAGGCTGCTGCGCGCGCTCATCGCTGCAATTACGAGCGCAAGCGAGCGACGAGCGAGCGGGGTGCCAAGGGACTTCGCGGAGCGGGGTCCAGAGCCCCTCCCGCAGCCTTGACGGCGACGATGACACGGACGACGACGACGACGACGACGACTTCGCGACGCATGCCGACGACGCAGAAGGCACTAGGCACGACGGCGACGACGTCGACGCCGATCACGACGACGACGACGTCGCCGACGTCGACGCCGACGCCGAGGCCGGCGCCGACGGCGGCGACGGCTTCGACGACGACGACGCCGACGCCGAGGACGCCGACGACGCCGCCGACGACGACGATAACGACGACGAAGACGACGACTATGACCTCGAACAGAGTAGAGCAAGCGTAGACTATAGCATGGTACGCGCAGAGCAGAGCGTAGAGTAGAGTCGAGTAGAGTAGGGTGCGATACAGTAGGGAATGGTAGAGCAGGGTGGAGAAAACTTGAGCAGGGAAGTGAAGATCATATTAGAGTAGAGTTTGGTACGGAGGAGCAGATGGGCAGAGTAGAGCAGACATTCCGAATATTGGAGCTGAGGAGAGGCAGATTGGAGTAGAGTGGGCTACGAGTGGTAGATTGGTGTAAAGTAGAGTCGAAGAGATCAGAGTAGGTAGGACATCGTAGAGTAGAGCAGGGTGGAGCAAAGCAAAGTAGAGTAGAGTGGAGTAGAGTAAAGTAGCAGCAAAGGAAACGATAGTAAAGGATGTGCGGGTGCGTTAGTGTAGAGTAAGGCAGAGCAGAGTAGGGCAAGGTAGAGTAGAGTAGAGGAGAGTAGGGTTGCGAGTAGTACAGAAGGGGTAGAGCTGCTTAGAATAGACAACTTGGGCGACTTGGAGAAGAGTAAAGTATGCTAGGGCGCGGCAGGTATGGTGGAGTTCGAGTAGAGCAGGGCAGGCAAAGTCGAGCAGAATTGAGAGTGGAAGAGCAGACCACCAGACCTAGAGCAGGCAGATCTGTCTAAGGCTTGGGCAGAGTAAAGTGGAACAGAACATTGCAGAGTAGAGCTGCGTATGCTGGGGAACGGTAGGGCAGAGAAGGCGTATGAAAGTATAGTAGAGGAGAGTGGGGCAGAAAAGGAGTAGAGTTGAGTTGTGTGAGAACAAAGTAAAGGAGATTTGCGTATGTTCGGGTACGGCGGGGTCGAGTAGAGTAGAGTAAAGTCGAGTAAGGCAGAGTAGAGCCGAGTAGAAGAACGTAGAGTAAAGAAGAGAATGGGAGAGTAGGATAGAGCACAGTAGGGCCATGGTAGAATACTGAGAGAGATGGGTCGATCCCTCGTATTGGCATTATATCAGAGCTGGCGCCTGGCGCGGGCGCTGGCGACAGGCGCGCCGCCGCCGACGCCATTGTCGTCGTCGCCGCTGCAAACGCCGCCGTCGTCGTTGTCGTCGTCGTGGTCTTCGTCGCCGACGCCGACGCCGCTGACGTCGTCGTCGTCGTCGCCGCCGCCGCCGCCGTCGTCGTCGTCATCGTCGACGTCGGTGTCGTCGTTTTCGTCTCCGTCGTCGTCGTCGCCGTCGCCGTCGTCGGCGTCGACGTCGGCGTCGTCGGCGGCGTCAGCGTCGGCGTCGGCGTCGTCGTCGTCGTCGGGGTTTGTTTCCCCCCATGAATTTCCTTTGGGGCGAGGGGTCGGGGCCCTGACCCCTCTACTCATTTTCCTGTGGGGGGTGGGGGGTCTGAATCCCAGGTTGTTTTCCGGTTGGGTTTTGGGGGGCGAGGTTTTGACCCCCCGTGTTTTTCCAGGGGTGGGTAGGGTGGGGAAGGGGTACCCTAGCTTTTGCCCCCTCCCCCCCCCCCTCCCCCGGTTGCTGACCCCCCATTTGTTGTGAATTTGTTTTGGCCAGCTACGGTGGATCGCGCTCCTTCGGATCTTTTGATCGACCGCTTTGAAGAAGGAGAGGAGGGACGTTATTTTCGTCACCCTCCTCCCCTTCATCCATCCATAACCTCCTCCTCCTCCTCCTCCTCCTCCTCCACCCCCTCCTCCTCCTTTTCCTCCTCGTCCTCGTCCTTCTCCTCCTCCTCCTCCTCGTCCTCCTCCTCCTCCTCCTCATCTTCCTCCTCTTTCTCGCCCTTCGTTTTTTTTTCCCACTCCTGTGGCATCCACCAGGACGGGGGCACGGAGGGAGAAGGGACAGAGGGGGGGGAGAAACACGCGGACTCTGTGGAAGGGGAGGACGAGGCGTGACGAGGAGAGGAAGAGTGAATGAATGAACCCCTCCCTGCCTGATCCGAATCCGGAGCGAAAACGAATTACGAGGACTCAGCTTGGTTCGAACTTTGGTCCTGGGGCCATTGCCCTGAGGGAGATCTCTCGATATACCTCACACGCGCTGCGTTCAGAGGCTCAGAAGCTGCTCGCGAGAAGGGGAGGAAGGACGGTCCCCCTGCAGGGAAGGCGGGAGGGGGAAGTCCGTCATCGTCTTCCTGCTGCTGGTTCGCCTCCAGGAGGAGGAAGGGAAGGAGAACAGCACCAGAAACAGCGGGTGGACAAGGGAAGGGGAGGAGGAAAGGGAAGGGTAGGTAGCAGAGGAGGAAAAGAAGAAAGTGGATGGACATGGCCGCATCGTCGGGAGGGGAAACGTATTAACTGGAAAGGAGGGTTTAGAGACGGAGAGGGAAACGGAGCCAGCGGGCAAGAGAGAAGTAGGCGGACGAGGTGAAAGAGAAGTAACTGCCCTAGGGTGAAGCAATCCGCGAAAAGCGACCATGAGGAGACGAAGATGATCAGGAACAGCGCGAGGACCAGGAGTTGAAGACATGGCGGGCGAGATGATGATGATGCTGATGATGATGTTGAAGATGATGCTGCTGCTTTTGCTGCTGGTGATGATTACGGTGGGGATGATGATGAGGAAGTGGGGGATGAGGAGGAGGAGGACGAGGAGGAGAAGGAGGATGAGGGAGAGGGGGGGGCGGATGAGGGGCAGGATGAGGAGGGCGCGGTTTATAAGAATGATACCAATCCCATGAAGAAGATTTCAGGATGCGGAGAAGGAGTCACATGATGATGGCGATGGTGACGACGACGACGCTGATGCTGCTGCTGCTGATGATGATGAGGACGATGGTCATGATGATGATGATGATTATGATGATGATGCTGATGCTGATGCTGATGCTGATGCTGATGATGTTGATGTTGATGGTGATGCTGGTGATGATGATGGTGGTGGTGATGATGATGATGATGCTGATGATGATGATTGTGATGGTGATGATTATGATTATGGTGATTATGATGGTGATGATGGTGATGATTGTGATGATGGTGATGATGATGCTGGGGCTGATGATGATATTGATGATGATGACGATGCTGATGATGGTGATGATGATGGTGATGGTGGTGGTGATGATAATGATGAGAACGGAGGAGGAGGAGGAGGAGGAGGAGGAGGCAGAGGAGGAGGCAGAGGAGGAGGAGGAGTACGGAACGACGAGCGGCAGCTGCAGGAGCAGGAGGAGCGAGGAGTGCAGGCCCTGTGCCCCCCCGAGCAGGGCTCCCGGCGGTGCAGCTTCTGCCACGCGAGCCCGCGCTCCAGCGGGTGTCTCCGCGGGGCCTGCCGCGACTGCTGCTTCAGGCGGGCCCCCGTGGCTCCCGGCCTCGGGGGGGGTGGCGTGGACGACGACGACGACGACGACGACGACGACGACGGCAACAACGTCTACGAGGAGGAGGATCGGGACTGCGACATCGGCGAGGACGCGCGCGAGGATGGGGGCGAGAACGGGGCACGAGGACGGCGGGGACGAGAACGGCCGTGGCGCAGGGGATCCGGCTGACAAAGACGGGGACGACGAGGGTGAGTAGGAGGAGGAGGAGGAGGAGGAGGAGGAGGAGGAGGAGGAAGAGGAGGAGGAGGAGGAGGAGGAGGAGGAGGAGGAGAGTGAGGAGGAGGTGGAGAGGAGGAGGAGGAGAGGACGAGGAGGAGGAGGAGGAGGAGGAGGAGCGGCGGCGGAGCTGGGGTGTGCAAGTCTTCCTCGCGGAGGAGGAGAGGAGGAGGAGGAGGAGGGGGAAGAGGAGGGGGAAGAGAAAGAGGAGGAGGAGGAGGAGGAGGAGGGGGAAGAGGAGAGGGAAGAGAAAGAGGAGGAGGAGGAGGAGGAGGAGGAGGAGGAGGAGGAGGAGGAGCAGGAGCCACCGCCAGGAGGAAACGGAGGAGGAGGAAGAGACGACAACGCCGACGACGAGGACGACGAGGACCGGGACGACGGGGGCGAGGAGAAGAGGAGGGCAGTGGGGACCCTGCCCTGGCCTCCTCGCTCCATGCCTCCCTCCCCTTGCCCCGAGGAGGTGACGGAGGAGGATCAATAGAAGGTCAGGGTGGACAGGAGCAGGGGAAGTAGGAGAAGGTGAAAAGCTTCGTTTATTTTCCTCTTTCTCCTCGTCCCAGCTCTCCATCCTCTGATTCCCGATTCCTGAAGGCATGGGAATCCGCCAGATGTCGCCACGTCCCCTCCCAGGCTCCGTTTTCTTCTCCTCCTCCTCCTCCTCCTCCCTCCCATTCCTCCCTTTTGTCTTAGCGCCAGTGCGCTTCTTTTCGCGCGCGAGGAGAGATATGATATGGCATTAGAGCACAATCATTTGGACAGCCTCCCTTGCAGGATACTGGCAAAGTGTACAAGTTTAGTTCAGAGCTGCGGAGACGCTGGGCGCAAATAGTCCGCCAGTCAACCACTCCCTCTTAACATATTCCTTTTGTTTGTCTGGTCACCCTTGTCGTAGTCGTGATTCCCCTCCTCGCCACTCCCTCGTAGCCCATCCTCGTCATCTCTCTCCTTTCATCCTTCCTTCCTCCTCCTCCTCCTCCGTCTCCTCCGTCTGGTCTGTCTGTTCTAGTAGACCAACTTGGACAGTGGCGCGGACACTGGGCCAGAAGCGTGCTCGGGAAAACCCAACCCACAGAACAGCTGGGGGTTCTGGCTGTGGTCGCATAACGTGTGCGTGTCTTGTCCCAGGGGGTCGGGCTTCCAACTCTGATGTGTTGAGGGCGCTCCTGGGAACGTGCGCTATCGGTGCCCTGGGTGATTGGGGATTTCTGGCCCGATCTTGCAGCCACCTTTTCCTCGTCCCACTCCTCTTTCTCCTGCCCCACTATTCCCCGGTATCGTCCCTCTCTTCAGAGTCGTCCCTTCTCCCTCCCTTGCTACTCCTCGACATCCTTCTCCTGATCCCCGTCTTCCTCCATCCCTTCCTCCTCCCCCATTTCTTTTTCCTTTCCCCCGTCACTCCTCTTCTTGTCTCTTCCTCCCTCGTCATAGTCCCACCCACCTCCCACATCTCCTTATCCCACCGCCCTCCTGCTCCCTCTCCCCATCTCCTCTTCTCCGTCCTCGTCTAACTACTTCTTCTACTTGTGCTGCCAACCCGCTCCCGCTGACCCCCGCCCTCCTTCCTCCCTCCCTAGCATGCCTCACCCTGCCCCTCTCACCCTCTCCCCTTTCTTCTGCCCCCTCCGCCGCAATTCTCCCGCCCCCCTCCCTTTTTCTTTTCCCCCCCCCCCCCCTTCCCTCCCCCCCTCCCCCCCTCCTCCTCATCCTCCTCCCCCTCCTCCTCCTCCACCTCCTCCTCCTCCTCCTCCTCCTCCTCCTCCTCCTCCTCCTCCTCGACGCTGTAGCCACATCTCACCCCGCTTGTGCGTGAGCCCCACGTGCCAGCTTCGAGAGCTGTGCCTGGGCGCCTCAAGGGAGGAGCGCCTCAAAAAAAGGCACACGGTTGGCTGCTCGGACCAGAGTGTTTTCGGGGTTCCACCCCAGGACGGGCGCGTCGCCCGTCTCCCATCTCCACCCCGCTTCCTCGTCGTCTGCTCCTCCTCCTCCTCCTCCCCCCCCCGCCGGAGTCGAACAGGTGAGAGGGTGAGATCGAACAGGTGAGCAACAGGTGAGAGGGTGAGATCGAACATGTGAACTGGAAATCGAACAGGTGAGAGTGTGAAATCGAACAGGTGAGAGGGTGAATTTCCGAGCTGGATTGTCCAGCATGCATAGGGATGCAGCGGATTGTTCTGCGAATTTGCCAGGGTGCGCTGGGCGAGCGAGTAGGGGAACCGCTTGCCTCTACAGAAGTAGCCGGCGAGTGCAGGTGCAGCACAGGCCACGGACGTGGCCTCCGCTGCTCACTGGAGTGGCCAAATCAGTGAGCATGTGCACGCAGACCGAGGCGTCGGCGCAGATAGGGGCCAGTGGGCTCGTGCGGTTGTCCCCCCCAAGAAACCTCCGCCGCAGGAGGTGCAGGGTCGCATGCCTTTGGGTAGCAGCGCGTGGGAAGCCATGCACTCTGCGCAACTCAGCGGCGCGGAGACAGTCCACTCGGGTCAGGCCTGCTGGCTTTCTCGCTCGACAGCCCCGATTGTGTTTCGGTGTCTTGGTTCAGCGTCGTCCCAAGTTTCGCAGGCGTGTTCTGGTTTTCGTTGGCGACTCGATTTGGGTTCTGGCTCCTCCTCCTCCTCTTCCTCCTCCTCCTCCGTCTCATCCCCCTCCATTGGGCCTGGCAGGCGCGAGAGCTTGTTACCCTCCGTTAGGAGGGTGCTCTGGCCTCCTAGGCGGTGCAAGCGGCTCGATGACAGCCGCGGGTGAGGTTCTGAGTCCTCCGAAGCCGCTTGCACCGCCCGACCAGGCCGCCTTCGATCATGTACTGTCGCTCGGCGATCTGTCTCTTTCAGATTGGGGGCTGCCGTGGTCTGAGCGACAATTTGCCACGGCCGCACAGCAGCCGAGCTCTGATAGATCAGGCTGCCGCGTGTAGGCTTCTCCCTCCGACGGGCAGGGCGCTGGACTGATCTTGGTGAGAAGGCCCTGTCGCGCGCACGCGGCACGCCGAGTCTTTCGAGTCGGAGTCCTGGAGATGGCTTTCCTCCTTGGTGTCCGAGGCGGGGGTTCATACACACCCAACACCTGGGAAACCGATCTTCCTGGATTTCGGCAGGCGGCGGACCTGGACGCTAAGTATCACAGTGAGGGGACCGAACGGTCATTCACCGTTCATGGGTGCGTGGCTGCAGTGGGGATCCGCGGTGCGGATTGTGGCGGCTGCTGTTAGTTGAATTCCCATACATATCCAAGTACTAAGTCTTGTCGGTCCCCCTTCCGGTGCCCACTGTGTTTTCAGTGGTCCTCACGGGGCCCGCAACTTGTCCGGTTACACGGGGAAGTCTTGGGGCTCAGATTGGGTTGTTGGCCCTCGATTTACAACAGCATCAATCACAGCAACAACAACAACAACGATTCCCGCGGTAACCCTCACAATTTGTTTCGAATTTGTTCTCTATCGCAGGATTTCCTGACATTGTATACAGGAATCGAGCTCTCGCAGCGTCAATGTACTCAGACGCCGTACCCTCGACGCTCAGGAATCACGCCTTTCTGACGATTCACTTGGGAATAGAACTATCTTTCGAGATCCCCTCGTGATGCATGCTGGACTCACGCTTCATCAACCCGCCTACTCGACTTGTCCGCCTGGGCCCGCCTTCCCGACCCGCCCATTAGGGTCTACCCGCCCGATCCGCCCGTCTGGTTCTGCCACGTGCTTTCTGTTCCTCGCCCCCCTCCCGCTACTGTCTCTCTCGTGCTCCATACTTCTCCCTCCCCGTTGTCCCTGCCCTTCGTCTGTCCTGGTCTCCCCTGTTTCAGGGGCTGCGCCGAATACGAATGGCAGGTAATGAATATATGCCCCCTATGGGGGCATGATCAAAGACGACGAGGGCGGGGATCGAGAGTTTGGGACATAAGTGTTAAGTGGCACGCGAGCAGATGAGAGAGAACAGTTTTAAAATGATGGACTTTTCACTTGTACGGAATCAGTATTGTCGATCCCTCCCTTTCCAGTGCCCATTGCGTTTTTCAATTGAAGTGCTCCTCCCTGGGCGCGCATTTTTGTTGTCAGGGGAAGTCTTGGTCCTCAGACTGCGGTGTTGGGCCCCGAGCGACAACATCAGCAATCAGTTTCAGACTGTTCGCTCCTATCTGCTCGCGTCTCATTTTACACGTGTAGTCTATACCCTTGGTACCCGCCCTCTTCGTCTTCGATCGTGCCCCCTTGGGGGCACATCTTCTTGACCTGCCACGTGCACTTAGCGCAGCCAGTGGAACAGGGGAAGAGAGGACGGATGGACGGGGGCGAGACAAGGTTGGAACACGAGAGAAAGACAGAGAGAGAGAGAGACAGTAGCAGGATGGGGGTCTAGGAGCAGCAAACACGTGGCAAACCCAGACGGGCAGACCGGGTGGGTACACCCTAGCGGGCGGGCGGGGAAGACGGGCACAGGCGGCCAGGTCGAGCAGGCGGGTTGTTGACGCGTGGCCCCTGCATACATCGCGAGGAAATGTCAAGCGATAGAGCGATTTCCAAACACATCATGCGAAAGGCCATATCGAGAGCGTGATTCGTGAGTGTCGAGGGCGCGGCGTCTGAATCAATGGGCAGGAAGTCCCACGCAAGAGCGTGATTACTGCATACATGTAGAGAAATTCCCACGCGAAAGCGCGGCTTTGGAATGATTTGTGAGGGAGTGCCAGGCAGACAGTTTGGGCAGGAACAGTTTCAATGATAAAAAAATCGGGCGCGAGCCCCGCACGAGACGATTCCATGGCAAAAACACAATGTGCACAGGTGGGAAGACCAACGGCAATTATGCTTCCAAATATGAAAATTCAACAACAACGGCTCCGCCTGAACTTCCGCACGCAGTATTCCAAAATCTCGCCCTCGCACAGGACTTCTTCATTCTTAATGCAGAAGTCGCACTCTTATATTGTACTTCCCTGCAATGCACTGCGGAGCCGCGCCTTCGACACTCAGGAATCAGGATTTTGCTTTCTGGTTTACCGCAAGATTCATTTGGGAAACGCGCTATCGCTCAAAACTTCCTTGCGAATCATGTTGGATGGACGTTTCAACGACTCGCCAGCTCGACCCGTCCGTCTGGGCCCGCCCGCTCGACCTGACCGTTAACGTCCGCCCGCCCGACTCTCCCGTCTGGTTCTGCAGCTTGTACTCCTGCTCCTAGCCCCCATTCTGCAGGTCTCTGTCGTGTTCCATCCTTTCCCCTCCCCCTTGTCTCTCCCCTCCTCCTTTCCTTTCCTTTCCTTGGTTTCGCGACTGCGCCAGCTACACAGGGCAGGTAAAAAGAGATGCCCCCAAGCGGGGTACAAACGAAGACGATTAGGGCGGGCATCGAGGGTTTGGGATATACGTTTTGAATGGCACGCTTGCAGATAAGGGTACACAGTTCTAAAATGACGGGGCTTTCATTTTACAAGGATGATGATCGATACCCCCGCGGAGCCCAGTGTTTGTATGTTCCTTCAATTGAAATGACCCCCCAATGCTCGCACCCTGTTTTTTGTACAAGGATACGTTGTCTGCCCCAAATGTATAACAACACGAGCAACACTATCAACAATAACAGCACCAATCAGTGTAACAGTGTTCGCGCTTATCTGCTCGCGGGCCATTCAACACACACATATATATATATATATATATATATATATATATATATATATATCCAAAGCCCCCGACACCCGCCCTCTCCGTCTTCAACCTACCCCCTTAGGGGTGTGTCTGTAAATATGTGCAAGTGTATATATATATATATATGTATGTATGTGTGTATGTCTGTATGCATATACCTATACATATATATATATAACCTGCAACGC